TGAGGAGAGCGGTCGCTGCTCTGAGCTACTCACAAGGTGCGGAGTTTGGGCATGTGGTTAAAGCTGGAGACAGGAATACTGGAGATATTGTTGTTATTCAGGGTTCTGGAAAAGAAGAGGCAGAAGGTTACCGGGTAACAATCCCCGCGTTTGATACGGCGCCTCATCACGTCGTGGAGACGTCTCAAAGCGCTTCACGGGGTACACTGTAAAGTGCAGTGACTGTGTGCTTTGTGGGCAAAACGCGGCAACCAACTGCCCGCACCAGCGTCCCACAAACAGCCGTGGAATGAGTGACCCAATTTTATTTGGGGAATTGTTGTCCAGGACACCGGGGGAGAGAGAGAGACTCCCTTCTCTTTACCAATAAGTCCCGCGGGATCTTTATCATCCACCTGAACAGGCAGACGGGACCTCGGTTTAGCGTCTCATCCAAAGGACGGAATAGTCTATGTTCGTGGCTTGTGATTGATGAATGCCCCTCCAACCCCCGTCATGGTATCTGTTCCCTTCCGGGACGTGACCCTTTTTTTCTGATTGACGTTTTTTTTCTTTCTGTACATAACGGGGGTGAAATTTGCAGCATTCCTTAAAAGCTTCCTCAACTTGTTTGAGGAACACCACCAGGTGGCGTCTCTCTCTCTCTCTCTCTCTCTCTCTCTCTCTCACACTCTCTCCAGACCCAATCCTCTCAGGAACACAGGGTTGGCCTGGATGAGGAAGGCCCTCGACATGTCCCGGGGTAAATAAAGTGGTGACGGCACTTACAGAACCTCCAAACCTCGCAGGGCTCGGAACGCTCCCTCCTCAATGCACCTGATTTTGTTTTTGTCCAACTGCCTGTGAGATAACAGCAAAGTCAGCACGGGCACACATGTCACTCACACACACGTCACTCACACACACGTCACTCACACACACGTCACTCAAATACATGTCATACAAACACACGTCACTCACACCTATGTCACTCACGTACTTGTCGCTCACATATACGTCACTCGCACACACACTACTCACACACACACGTCATTCACACACACACGCATCACTCACACACACACACACTGCTCGCACATGTCACTCACACACACGTCACACAAACACACATCACTCACCCACGTCACAAACATGTCGTTCACATACATGTCGCTCACGCACACGTCACTCACGTACATTGACTAGAGCACATAAACACACACACACACACAGAGAATGAGAGACCGACTCAGGCAGAGAGATACAGAGAGAGAGGGACAGAGACACACACACACACATAGAAAAACAGAGGGAGACAGAGCACTCAGAGTGATTGTGGAGTATCTCCTGAGGGGGAGGTTTAATACTCACAAATTTTTGATGTCTGTCGCACCACGGAATGCCTTCCTGGGAATGATCTGGATGAAATTCTCGCTCAGGTCTCTGGGAAGATATTGTACATGTATAAAATACTGACCCCGTGTCTGGAATGGGATGTGCACTCTCTCCCCATTGGAGGAACACACTCTGCTTAACTATTCCACAGAGTATTAGGTGCAGGTTGACCACAGTCAAGGCTTAGGGACCCCAGAGGGGTAACCTCTGGCGTCTAACCAGCTAAAACCACAAAGCTTGCCATAGAGAGCGCTGTCTGACCAGCTTTCCCGTTGCTTGTCCAGCAACGTCCACCCTCCCCGTTAGGGCTTTGGCCTCAGGGTTAACGAGCTGAGGGGGAGGATTTCCTGCCCCCAGTGACTGGTCTGTCCTTCCAGGTCCTGCCGATGGATGAGCCGGGCCGGGCCGGGCCGGGCCGTGCTGCCATCGGCAGTGAGTGCCCTGGGACACTGCTGAGCTGCCTGGCTCCGAAATTGCTGCAATGTCCTTCAGACGAGACATTAAACCAACATCTCAATCGGGTGAACGGTAAAAATGCCACAACTGTTGGAAAAGAGAAGGAGCTTCTCTCTCCCAGTGTCGTGGCCACAATCCCCGGATACAATCGCTCTCGGCTGTTCGTGAGAGGTGAGAGGCCGCTGCGGGAAAATTGGCTGCTGCGTTCGCCTACAAATCACACAGTCAAACGCTCTTTGAGACATCCTCCCAACGCGACAGCCGCAGAATCAAATGCCAGGATTGTTACAACCAGAATCGGACACGCACCTCACGACTGCTCCCCGAGCGTGCGCGCCGGGACCTGAACTACAGCGAACGGCTGCCAGGTTTGCTTACAAAAAAGTCACTACACTCGACAGTCCGCGGGGGGGGGGGGGGAGGGGAAACGACAACAGGAATTTAAGGATAAAACTGAACCGCGTTTCCTGTAGCGTTTCACAGTTATTTCAACAAGAACTGAAGAAAGGAATGTGGTCGGAAATGACGATTCCCACCAGGAACATAAATAAAAGCCGCGGGGGGTGGTCCTGGCCAGGGTCCGCACCGTCTGCAGCTCCCAGTACTCCTCGTTACACACGTGCCCGCGGGTGCTCTTGCGCGCGGTCCTCTGGTTGGGGGTGAGCGAGCGGCGGGAGGTGAAGCCGCACTCGCTGATGGGTTTGCTGATGTACACGATGTCGCACTGGTTGTCGTGCTCGTTGACGAAGCGGCACATGGTGGAGCCGGTGGGCGCGGCCCGGAGCACGGACACTTTGCCGCGACGACGGGGAGGTTTGGCTCCGGTCGCCCGGGCCTTGAGGCGGAGCCTTCCGCCGGCCCCGCCCCCCGCCCCCGCCCGGCCCCCGCCGAGCGGAGACACAAACCAGCAGCTCTTGTTTGACGGCTGGACGTGACCTTTGACCTGCCGGCCCACCTTGACCCCCGTGGGCGCGGCCGTTGCCGGAGGCGGGGCTTTGCTGGCTCGGCTCTGCGAGCGCCCGGGACCTTTGGCCGTGACTGGCCTCTTGCCGAGCGTCTCCGCGGGGAACGGCAGTGGCGGAGGCTGGTGCAGGGTTTTGGGAGCGACGGCACCTTCGGTGTCGCTGTGAGGCTCCAGGTGTTTGTCTCCGGTGCAGTGATGGCCGCTCGGTCCGGCCAACACCAGGCAGCTGTCGCCGTTCAGACCTGGCTCACCGCGGCCGGCCGTGTCCGAGGGGGGGGGCGGTTGGAGGCTGTCTGGTTGCCGTGGTCTGTCCGCCGCCGATGAGGGTGGGGGTTCGTGTTCGGTGCCGGCCAGGGTCTGGGGCGGCTCCCCGGGGGGTTCTCCGTCACTCCGCATGTGGCTCAGCACGGTGAGGAACTGCCGCTGGTGATGGCGGCACAGGTTAGCCATAAACCGCTCCAGGGAACCTGGAGCATCCGTCCCCGTCAGCCTCACTGTCTCCTTGTGACTGAGAGAGAGAGAGAGAGAGAGAGAGAGAGTGTTACAAGTGGCCGGGGACCTTTAATAATAATAATCCTTGCATTTGTTATAGCGCCTGATCACGTCACCGAGACATCTCAAAGCGCTTCTCAGGATACACTGTACAGCGAATTGACTGTGTATTTTGTGGGTGAAACGCGGCAGCCAATCGCGCACAGCAGCGTCCCACACACAGTTGTGGATTGAGTGACCAAATTATTATTATTTTTTTTGGAGTATTATTACGCCCGGAAAAGCGATCCGCCAATCGACTAACAACTGGGCTCCGAGTTACTGCTGGTAAACAGAAGCGTGTCGAGCGAGGAAACTTGCCCAATGTTTGGCTCTGCCTGGAAATGAAACTCGGGCCCTCTCGCTTGCGAGGCGAGAGCTCGAACCACTGCAGGGCTCCAAATTATAAATTGCACCATTTTAATTCAGACTTGCTCAACAATGAAGCCTGAGGACTGAAGACGGAAATCTCCAATATCATACTTACTGAGTCTGTTAACCCTCTGCTCTCTCTCTCCTCCCCCCACCAAAGTACATCAAACTCTTTAAAGTGAAATGTCTTCAGTCTGGCTGTCAGCTCGCTCATGCCGAACCTCTCTCATGCTCCTGTCATGTCCCGTCTCCCATGGCTGCCTCGCTCACTCAGTCACACGGCGACTGGGTCTAAATCTCCAGGGTTAACACAAACAAAAGGCATCTTGGCTGATCAAGAGGGAGGTCCCTTAAAGATAAATGGCTTCCTCTTTCAATTAAAGGGAACCCAGCCACGGCCAAAGGGGCTGGTGATCGTTAAAAGAATATTGATCTTGTAATGGTAATAATCCTTGCGTTCAATAAGAGTCCGACTGCCTCAAAGCGCTTTGCGAGGAATTGCTGTTAAAGGTCGTGACTGTGTGTGTTGTAGCCAAACACTGGAGCCGATTTACACAGAGATGTCCTCCGAGTGAGGGTGGGGGCGAAAAGAGAAACTCCTTATTCTTTTTCCAATAGTTTTATGGGATCATTTAATTTCCACCTGTAAAGGGCAGTCGGGAGCTCGGTTTAACGTCTCATCCAAAGGATGGCGTCTCCGGCAATGCAATGTTCCCCCACAGCTAATCATTACCCTCCCGGTTGTCCCAACAAACTGCAGGTTACATAGAAATTCCCTTGAACTGCTTCTACATGTGGTCTCAAAAGAAATCAAAGCAATTCAGAGTTTGTGTACGTGTAGTGGCCGCGTTCTATAGGTGAACGCTGCGACCAATTTAGAATCATAGAATCTTACAGCTCAGATTGGCTGCCGCGTTTTGCTCAGATGATAATCGGTCAATTCACTTTACAGTAATGTGTGAAGTGAAACACTGTGAAGTGTTTCGAGACGTCTCGAAGACGTGATAAGGTACTTTAATAATAAAAATCCTGGCATTTGATACAGCGCCTTATCGGGTCTTCGAGACGTCTCAAAGCGCTGCACAGATTATACTGAAAAGTGAATTGACTGTAGATTTTGTAGTCTGCCCTTCCGAGTCCTGCCGATGAGCCGGGCCGGGCTGGGCTGGGCTGCGCTGTCACCACCAGTGCCCTGGACTGGATGAGGAATGCTGCTGGCTCCATGGTGAGGGTGATAGAGAGCAAGTAAGACAGGCGTAAAATTTAACAAAGAAAATTTATTAGAAGAATAGTGTTTTTGTACGGAAACAGAGTCTAGCCTCCAGTGAGTGACTACAAACACGATACAGACACAAACCGGGTTACCAATACACCCTGCCTGGCATTGCCAGGACAAGCAGGAAGTTCCCACATGCACAGAGACCCAATCACTGGTCACTTCCCTCCGACGCACTTCACAAGGCAAAAAGGACCACAAAAATGTACCAAAGACCTAAAGTACCAACCAGTCACTAACGATAAGACGCAAGTTAAAAATTGTTTTAAACACACACACACAGACACACACACAAATCATTCACAAGTAGTGCAAAAAGGGAAGCAAACGCACTGTGATCGGGAGGTGAGCGAGAGGTAAAACACGTCAAAACACTTGATCCTCTAAGTGGAAACTAATGGGTTAGAAATAAGATCCTGCAAAGAAAGGTTTCTCTCCTTTATTAAAAAAATATTTATACTGTTCTTGTCAAACTGTAAACAGCTAACTGAGGTTAAGCAGAGCAAACTGGCACCTGTGTTTTGTTTGAACGTGGGTAGTATTGGGCAGGAAGAGTTAAATCGAAAACGGACAGCAATTGCGGGCACATCACCGTAAAAGCAAAATTTGCCATTTCCAATTCAACTCACATCCCCGCCAGAGTTTAACACTGAATATTTTCTAACGAGAAGCTACGTGACCCTGCAACAATTCCTGAAGGGTCCGTCCGAGACTTGAGGTAAACGTGCCTTTGACACAGTTAAAGAAATGAAAGTACACTTTATTTTAGAATGGAAAAGCCATGGGCGGGGAGAACCCTGAGTGAGGCGTTAACCCATACAGAACAGGAGCTGGGTATAAGAGGGTTATATATAAATAAAGAAACGCCGTGGCTGGCACTATTCTGTAATGTGCGGAGGGCGTCCCGTGGGACACTGCCCCCCTACTGGTGGCTTCCCCACACTGGGAAATATCACAAGGGGTAAATATATACAATACACATTTACACAGCGCCTTTCTTTCACGTCGCGAGGACGTCCCAAGGCGCTGGTCAGTCCTGGCTTGGCATCCGAGAGCAGGGCGGGGAGGGAAAGATGTTTCGAGATGTTTGAGACCCACAGACAAATGAGCTCCCAAGACTGAATTATTTCAGAATTTGGCAAAATTCTGATGAAATTTCTACAACAGAGGAATAGGTACAATATATAATAATCCTTGCATTTGATATAGCAGCTCATCAAATCATTGAGCCGTCTCAAAGTGCTTCACTCTGATCGTAACTGACTCTCTCAGTATCCCCCCTCCCCCAAGCAGCTAAAGCACGGGCTGTGTGAATTGACTGTGTATTTTGTTTGGGCGAAACGAGGGAGGAAAGCTTTTAACTGCATTAGTTCACATTAAGACACCCGATGAGAGGTTTGAACATTGAAAAGCTCTTGGCTCTCAGAGGTAAGAGGAGAACCTGAGCAGAGAGTGGCTCCCTCTGGAGCGAGCGCTCGCCTGACTGGACGCACACTCTCCCATTCGCCTGCCCTTATGAAACCAGACCATTTACACAACGGTGGCCATATAACACCACACATTAGGTCACTGCTCAGTTGCAAAGGAAGCAAATTGGTTTGCGCGATATTGAGAATTCGGAACACAGGGCCCTCAGAGACCTCAGTCCTTGGGATGTCTTCCCAATGTGAAAGGCGCTAACACATATGTAATCTGTTGTTGTTGTGTGCTCGTAAACACCCAAGGTGTGGAGCCAGGGTGAGAGAACGGCACTCTAAACTGTCGGAGGCACTGGAGAGAACAGAAACACAGCTTGAGAACAGTTTGGCTGAATTCAGTTTAACAACCGAGTAAGAATTAACATTCACCAAGAGACGTGGTGCTACACTTCTTAAGAAAGTCACCGTTAAGATTCAACAGTCTAGCTTAAAGTACTGAGTGGATGGTTTTGAAGTAGTGTGTCAAATGTCCCTGAGGGTTGTATAAAATAGCTGTGGTTTAGAAATGCCATTTTCTTTCACTTATTCTACTGACAGCTAACAGACATACAGTACAGCACGACACGTAGCTGAGGTTATATCAAACCAAACCAGAGGCGGGGGGGGGGCTTGTTTCACTGTGCATCTTTTCAGCGCTTTGGGATGTCCTCCCGATGTGAAAGGTGCTATTACAAATGTAATTTGTTGCTGTTGTTTTCAACAGGGCTCAATCAGCCCTCCCACTGCCAGGTGAAAGCTGTAATCTTTCGATCACAGCATCAGAGAGGTTTGAATGAAGGTTTTTCAGCCCATTTAATCTCATCCTTGCAGAACACAAGCTCATGCATAAACACTCAGTTAAAATGAGTGCTAGTGTCCTGGCCTCAACCACCCTCTCCTTTCTGGCATCCAGTTCGACACCTTTGGGTAAAGAAATCATTCCCAACGTCTGTGCTGACATTGCCCACTCAACCCCAAAGCTGGGTCCTCTTGTCCTGCATCTGAA